AATAATTTAAATAAATATTTCTATTTTTGGCGGTGACCCATATGATCAGATTTGTCTGAGTGCATATTTATAAATTATAAATAATAAATGCATATATTTATATATTAGCAATTTATCATTGGTTAAAAGTTCAGAAAACTTATTCAATAACAACATTTTTTAAATAGTTCATCTATTCGTTGGTTGTATCAAATAAACTTTGCAAGTAATTTGAGAAAAATACAATTTTTTCCTTAAATTTTATTGACCTCGCTTACTTTGAGCATTATGCTCTAAAATTAAAAAAAAACTAGTAGGGTGTATGGCATCGTGCCGGCAAATTGCTGGAACTTCCCGTACCGTAACGAAATGTTCGAAGAATACTAAAAGCTTTCATATAGATTATTATGAATATTGTAACATTGTCTAATATTTATAAGAATTATATAAACTGAATTGCAAAGTTGAAATTATTTGTTTAAAGTATATTAAAACTGTAGTAAAAATTACAAATAAAATCCGAATTATTTTCGATATACAAAGAAAAAAATTTTTTTTTGAAAAAAAAAAATGAAAAAAAAATTTGAAACAATTTTTTTTTTCAAAATCAATTATTTTGTTAAAACAAGCAGAAAATTCTTTAAATAATCCAAATCTGACGCTTAGTTCTCTCAAAAACTGCTATTTTTTGCATATTTAGCTCCGTATCTCCGTAACGGCTGGACCTGCCTTTGCCAAAAACTAATCAGCACATCTCCCTATCAATAGGAATTGAATGTTTTCTAAACCATTCAAATCGGTTAATCCGTGCGCCCGAAAACGTGGCCGAAAAATTGTATCCATACACACACACACATACACGCCTACACGCACACACATCCATTTTTTCTGAGGTATGCCAAAATGTTCAGAAATGCAAAAATTTTCAATTTCGATTTAAGGGAAGTTAATAAGATTCTTTAAAAATTGGATTAACAGATTTCTTCATTCTTCTTTTTTCCTTCTAAATCTGATCTTGAATTATAATCTTGTTTTTTCTTCTTACTTCTAAATTTTTATTCAAATTCAACTCAACCTAATAAATTCTGATCGAGAAGGATTTTCAGATTTTTTTATCTCATCTTCAACCGAAATTTCTTTTTGCCCTCTAATTGTGCGTTTAGAAGCCCTTTACGTGTTGACTTATTTTTAAGATTTAGGAGCCTATTCTCGGTTAAAATAAAAAATCTATGTTAAGGGTCTATATTCGTATGAGTTGGTAGTAACAAACTGTGCAATGTTTTTGTTGTGCAATCAGACGTGTTACACATAAAACCAAACTTCACGTATGTGTTATCAGAAAGTTGCACTTGTGATAAAATTGTTTGTCTTTTGGAGGTTAGATTTTATGTGTGAAACGCCTGATCGCACAGCAAATACATAGCTTGTTAACCGTTTGTTACTACGAACTCATACGAATATAGACCCCTAACACAACATTTCTATTTAAACCGAAAACTGACTCCATTATATAGTAGTAAATAATAACAAATAAAATCTACGTATATTTCTACCATTTTTCCGACACGTGTACTAGCCAATATTTTATTTCGTCTTTGAATACTTGAATCGGCATAAAAAGTTGAAATTATCAATTCAGGTCTTGTAAAACAACCGGTGCGATGTGCATTCAATTGCAATTGTAGAATGCAAATGAAATGCACTTCGGAGGAAAAAAACGAAATGAATAAAATATGCGGTGAGGAGAGTCGATTAACGAACTTGAACTTGAAGGAACGAGATTCAGTTGTCTTGTTATTATTTTTTTGTAAACAATGATAAAAGAAGTATAAATATATCGCAGGCACGACTGCTTTGTCATTTGTTCAAATTTAATTGTTTCCGCACTCCATAGGAGCGCCACTAATTGTAGCACGTAAATCTACCACAAGGTTTAGGTCCTAGATAAGATTTATATAAATATATAATAAAGAAAAGATAAATGAGGTAAAAACAGACTGGTAAAAAAATTTAAAAAAATGCGCGTAAGGTTCACACGCGATTGAAGTAAAACTTATTTGCTACTGTACAAAGCAGTAAAGTTAAGTTAAGTAAAAATAAATACATCATATAACAATTTTGAATAATGTTCATCAGTAATATGGTAACACTCGTGATGCATACATTTATTAGTGTTATCGACCATTATACACATTTACATAATGATTAATTATATATTTATAATAGCACTAAAAATATGTATAATATTTAAAAACAATAATGTAATTAAAGTCATGCTTCAAATATGACATGATCGGTTTTGTCATTGTAATTAGCATTTAGGACTTGAACCTTCATTAGAGAAATGAAGTAATTGCTGATTAATAAATTCTATAAAATTCGTTCACACAGTGGATTATGTTAAAGAACGCCTAAACAAATATTGTTTTCGCAAATTCACTCATGTAATAATTGTGTTTGAAGAACTTCATGTAATTAAAATTAATATACATTTATTGACTGCTTGTATTTTTTTTTACTTTTTCGCTGGCGATATAATCTCATTCTTTGAACAGCTGTAATATCTGCTTTGCCTAAAAAATATTTTCTATTTCAATAACTTCAAAGATTAATAGAAACTACGAATAATATAGAAATAAATTCTAATCATTAAACTTACGTTTAGTACACGGCACAAATGTTTAATTTGTTTTATTATTTTCAAGGAACAGGGTAAAATATTCTTTTAATTCAGACATTTTTCATTAAATCAAGATTTATACTACGATGTAACTTTAAAATGTTTATTTACCTATGCTGATATGCTTGTTGATGCCGCATACAACGTTGATGCCGGTATGCATACAACGACAGATCTTTATTCACATACACGACGACTAATCACAATCGACCCGTATAGAAATGATATCATCGAGAGCGAATGACGAATCATTGGCACTCGACTTTTATCTTATTCTATCTGCCGTAACGCACTTCCGTTGCATTTGTACGAAATTACACCCTGGTCACGCCTAAAAAAGTTTTACTTTAAAAATGGGGCGAGAGTTAATACAGAACAAATGTGCTTTTCCGAGTTTTAGTGTCGTCTGCACTCAAAAGAGGGTCTACTGTGCCCAAATTCATCAT